GACGACTTTTGCTATGATTGTGGGGGTTGTCACCTAATTTGAGAAGATGGCTCGTGATGTAGCGGTCTTTGACAAGTTTCGCTATGATTGTGGAGGTTTCCACCCGATTTGAGAAGATGGCTCGTGATGTAGCGGTCTTCGACGACTTTTGCTATGATTGTGGAGGTTGTCACTTTGATTTGAGAAGTTTGTCACGTGATGCGGCAATCTTCGACAACATTCACTAAGATTGTGGAGGTTGTAAAACAAAATAAATTAGATCTAATGTGATGTCACCTAGAGGCGTGTACCCGACGGTGCAAGATACGTGTTTTCTAACTCCTTTATGTGTAGAATTAACGCTTTTCTGCAGGTATCGACGTTAAAAAGAATTATTTAGGGTCGCTGAACGTTCTGAATTATTCTCCGTCCCTATCAATCTACTTTGACTTTTGTTTTCAAAACTTACGTTTCTCCAAACTCAGCCAAAGTGGGGGCTTCTATAGATACCTGATTGTGTTTTCCCAAAACCAAACCCAGTGATGAGTACCTTAAAAGGAATGGTGTCCTTCCAAAAAGTGTATTATTTTGATAGAGGGTTCAGAATTATTACAGAGCTAATTCTTCAGTAAGGTCAAGTGATCGAAATGCCTAGGTGGAGGCCGCTTCCGATAAATAATATTAAGGTATAATTAATATTACAGCTTAATTTTAACTGAACCCTTCGGGTCGAACCCAATCGAACAACTGATCCGAGACAACGAATCAATCCGAAGGATTTAATGAGTCATCGGAGTTTTACGAATACCGACGTCGGATATCGAGCCAAGGGCGTCGAGACTGAGCATCGCAAAATCACAAGCAACAAGTGCAAGCATAGCCGTAGCACCACATTGGTCTAGCCATGTGGATGCTAGGCTAGCCCGAGCTAGCATGCACCTAGCATAGCTAGGCGCAAGCCTAGACACACTAGGTGTGCTAGGCACACCATCGCTAGCAGTAGGTGCTAGCATGCGTGCATGCCTAGCATGGCAGCACCATCGCTAGCACCAAGTGCTGGCATGCGTGCATGCCTTGCATCGCAGCAGCATGCGTGCTAGCTTGCGTGCGTGCCTTCGCATGGCAGCACCAAGCAGCACGCTGTGCTCCGCAATGCACATGTGCATGGCCTAGGCGCCAGCACAATGCTAGCCAACGCCTAGCGACCAGCAGCCAAGCATGCATATGCGACTGTCGTGGCCAGCAACTTGCGAGGCAATACCCAGCATGCATGGCTCGCTAGCAGACGCATGCTGGCCTTGTGTATGTGTGTGCGTTGGCTAGGCAGCACCGCCAAGCGCCCAGCAAGCAGCAGCAGCGAGGGCCTCGCCCAGTACAGCAGCATGCGTGGCTCGCTAGCAGCACGCATGTGCTGGCTGGGGGGCTGGTGCGTGCTAGTTGTGCATGCTGGTGTGCTAGCTGGCAGCCAGCCCAGCTACTTTGCTTGAGGCGGTTTGAGGAGAGTAGGGACCAAGGCTTAGAGCCATGCCTTGGGGAGCAAGACAATGGTCCCCCCCCCCCCAAGGGACATGGTGCTCACCTAACTCTCTCTACCCTTTTGCCACTTCTTGCATGGTGATTGCTTTTGATTAATTATTTAATTTAGAATTATATACATTACCAAAATTTTACATGATCCCACATTGATCATGAAATGGGATTCAAGTTCCCATTCTGTATAAATACCCACTTGATTAGGATTTTGAGAACACACACTTGAGTGGAGCTATAAAGGCATCTTCATTATTTCTCCAAGCTTTGACTTAAAATAAATTTGGTTATAGAGTCGACTTAAATATTAAAAATGTTTGTAGAGCTAGATAAAAAAATTACTCTCCCATCTCTTCTGTTTTTTTTTTTATTTTTTATTTTTTTTCACTGTGAAAATTTTCTCTTGAATTAAACATTTATGATTATTTTTAAATTGTAATTATTACTTCCTCCGTTGCTTGTTTTTTAAGACATACTTCATCCATATCTTAATAGTTCTGCATGAACTGACTTTACATGTTTGTCAATACCTAAGTTTGACCCTTAATATCTTTAACTACATTACATTAAAACTTGAGATGTGTTAATTTTTATATGTGGCTTGTCACACCGTGTGGCCAGAGTTAATCGAATTACTCGATCAGTGGTTACTCGAATTACTCGGTCATGGTTTACTTGAGGGATTCGGTCAGGAGTTACTCGGTTAGAGGTTATTCGAAGGGTTACTCATTCAGGGGTTACTCGAGTTACTCGATCAAGAGTTACTTGACGCGTTACTTGACGAAGAAACTCGAGTAACTTCTGATTGAGTGAGTAACTCAAGTAACCGCGGCTGCTTGGTGTGGCCAGGCCCACAGAAAAATTTCCCATTGAGATGAACTCAACACATGATTGGCCTCCTCATTTTCTCGGATGTGCCCTGAGATAGTGAGATAGCCTCGGGAAAATCCTCTAATATGGGCATACAGCCTTGTGTGAAGGTGGGGGTTCAAGTGGATGACATGAGATTTATCACCTTAACAGCCTTGTATCTAAAATGCTTCTTTTGAGTCTTTCTACATGTCTGTCTTGATTCTTGAGGGCAATCTGTAAATCAAACTGGAGTAAGACATTGTTTGCACCAATGTCAATTGGAATTATTCACATTGTTTCTGATAGCTACTTTCCACTTTAGTTTTATGTATGTGAAACCAAAGTCTTCTTCCAGGTCCTCAAATTGGAACTCTGAGGCAGGCATGAAGCTGGTTATGACGCATTCATGACCGGGTGTGTCTTTGCTCAAGCTTGCAGTCATCTGGGTGTTGATTTCTCTTCTGAGAAGGTAATAAACAGTGAGAATCTTCAAAAAATATGTCAACCAGCTTTATCTCAGTTGGAGTTAGGGAGATGTAATCAATCTAAGCACTGGTGATGTGAATGAAATTCGCGTTTGTTAAAAGGAGGTTTCTCAACATTATGCATCCTAGCATCGTATACAGTCAGTTGCTTGCATCTGTAACTGGGATGAAACTGCAGTATTTGTTCAGTTTAGTACGGCAGACTTGGCTGCTAGCTTCCTCGCCTTATCAAAGGAATGTTTTGAAACAAGGGATGATTCCATCTCTGTCCTACATCCTTTATTAAAGTTGTTGTCTAATCCGAATGTTTTTGATAAGATTTTGTACTCTCCCGATTCTGAAGCCAACCGAGAGTTGAAAGTCACAAGTGCTTGTAATTCATAGGCCATTCAGTGTAACCGTTCGAATCTTAGCAAATTGATTAGATTTCTGAAATTCTTACTTGATAGTAAAACATACCCCTGTATCATTTCAGTGTAAGACATCTTGGAAAATAATATAGGGAAATTTTGATGGTTCTATATTGATATGTCTGTGACCTGACTTTCAATTTTTAGTCTTTTTCAGTAAATCATTCATGCAATTTGGTATTTTTCAGATGGATTTTGTGGCTAAATTTGTCCATCGTAAAAACCATCAGTTGTTGCAGGAAAAGTAAGCAAAAGTATAAAACAGCTGAAGTACCAGAAAAGTAGGCAAAGAGGATGCAGACACGCAGTAAAATAAATTAGCTAATTCATATTAATATTAAAATCATAACCAAAGTCCAATGGTACTAAATTAACATTTACAAGTTGCTAATCGTGGTACATAATACTCGATGTAACCTTGAAATTACATGCCTCTATTGCTGCAGATTTATGCTGTTTGAGAAGAAAAATAAATTAAAAAATCAATTTTATGATTAATTCCTACAACAAACGCACAATAATCTCTATTCTATACCCGTCCATCCAAACAATCTTAGATGACTGGCAATATTCTCTATTCTAATCCAGCAAGAACATCAGGAGTCATAATCAGGCTGGTGAAAGATTAAAAATGCCTAGGACTTTGATCGAAAATGTGAGCATTAGTTGCTTAAGTTAATGTCTTCCTCCGGAATATGTAATAACCTCCTTCAACTCTTCAAATCTAATATAATACATACACCAGTGCCCTAGTGGACTCCGGCAATCAATCCTAACTTAGGTTTAAGCATACTAAGATATACTAAAGGGTCGTTAAAAAGTTACCAGTGTAAAATTTCAGACATATATACAGCTATAATCTGAGTCTCTTAATGCATTTATGAGTGCAAGAGGTCTTCTTTCAGCTCATGAGTTGAGACAGCAATGTACATTGTCCATCAAAAATCTGCAGAACCGAACAAGTGGTTTAAGTATAACTCATAGCAGCACGATAAGAACGTTAAGCAAAGGCTTCTACAGTCTAGAGTTGCAATTCGTACTTGGATAAAGCTAATTGATCAGGATTATTAACAGGGCCTGAGAGGAGAAGGATGATTTACCTGCTCGCAAACCAAAAGCAAATCCTCTGCCAACTCTCTTCTCGTATAAACATGGATTCTCCCTTCTATTTCTGTGGTAATCTTCTGGGCAAAAGAACTAGTAGAGGAAAATAGAATTTGCAAGTGCGTGAAATAACTCAATTTAACGAGGTATATAATAATTAGGCATTCAGGTATATAAAAAACAAAAAGTTACCTTAGCTTCCTCCAAGCTACAAAAGCCTCCAGGAGGTAAAATTACATCTGGATCTACATGTTGCAAGGACGACAAAGCCAATGATACGCAGCTTTTACTGCAGACAACAAGCCACAGCTCAAGAATCAGAATTATAGTTGATTTGACAACTGAACATATCATAATAGCAGATATGTGAAATGTAACAAGACTAACAACTACCACAGGTCCATATATTGACCAAATCAAGACCCAATCTGCAGCAGATTAACCACCCATATATTGATTCCCCCCATATATTGATACCTCAAACATTAAGAAAGAGGAACCAAAAAGCTTACAGTGTAGAAAAACCAATTTCAAGGTACGAAACTGAGATACAAACCTGGTCCATGTAGGCACAAATTTCTTGTTTGGTATTCTATCCACTTCTTCCTCTTTATCATCTGAGCACTGCTATGGTGATATATCATGACTGTGGTGCACTGGTTCGATGAGTTGGCTTGTCTTTTTTGTCAACATTAGGAGTTAAATTTTCAGCCACGTCAACGGCACCTACCTGCAAGGACCATCACAGCTATAAAATAAGGGAAATTTCACCACAAACCAAGGCGTCTGAAAAGCAAATGAGCCAAATATTTTTCTACATATATAGCCAGAAAAATATGGTACTCATCAGAAAAATGATGATGCGTCAAAAGCAATTATAACAGTTCACTTTGCAACAGAAAAATGATTTAACCTTTCCAGCAGCAGAGGATCCCGTTGACATCTTGTGATCAATTAAGGTTGAAAGTCCAACTTCAGCTTCTCTTCTATCACTTCCAACAACCAAATCATTCACTGGCTTCTCTGAATCTTCTCCTTCATATCCTATGTCAAGTTGTTTTTCTGATTTCTCAATAAAATGCTTTCTCTGATGAGCTCTTTCTTCCTATAATGATCACAATATTTAAGCCAACAATAACAGACGAATAATGCTTGACACTGTATACAAAGACAAGGCCACACCTCTGGTGCACATTTCGATTCCTCTTTCCAAGCTTGAAGTTTATCCTATGCTTGCTTATGCTGCAACCGTGCTTCCTCAATACGGTGTTTTCTCCTTTCCTTTTCTTTCTTTTCTTCTTCTTCTCTCTGCCTTTTCTTAGCTGCATTTCCAGCCTCTCTTTTCTTTCTTTGTTCCTCTTTAAGTTTTCTTTTTAGTTCCATTTCCTTCATATTTTTTTGCTCCACTCTTGCTCGTTCAAGATTCATTGCCTCTTTCTTCTGATTGCGTTCATTTTCTTTTATTTCAGCAGCACGTTTGGCAGCTTCAGCAGCTTGGAGAGCCTTAACTTTTACATCTCTCTTTTCTGCACATCAATACAAACAGTCCATGAGCTTTGATAATAGCAAATAGCCTACGTAAGAATGCTTTAAGTTCAATACACTTTTCAGAACTTAGATCCAAAAGCATATAAATGCACAAAGCAGAAAAGAATGATTCATAATAGCACCAAACTCCTTAATTGCACAATCAGCTGTAAGATATAGACCAGAACTACTCGCCTCTGGTAAAAACTTTCAGAAGGATGAAGGTATGAATTAAAAAAATAGAATAAGGACGATGACATGAAGACGGATAGGGATTAATACCATAAACTAATTCTCAGCAGATATGCAATAAGAATAAGGAGTAGAACTCCAATAAATTATAAACGGCAGTAGATGTATTACCAGGAAGAACTCCAATAAATAACTTAAATTCATGCACTCTCTGTTGAGTGTGATCCAAAGCCATTTTAGTATACAGTGTCACTGTCAACCAGATTTTGATCATTCACCAATCCACCAGACACCCTTCCACTGCAAGTCACAGCACTTAATGCATTTGGTTTCACTATTCTATCCTGAGTCCAAAAAACTGATGGTTCTGCAATTATGATTCGATTCACCTTGAGACATCAGATTTTGAAGATCTTTGGTGTTTATAAGTGGAGGACATGTCAATTCTCCCTAAGCTAGCTTTATCCTGCCACATAAACATTAACGGAATAATGGATTAATAGCATAACAAAGTAAAATTAAAATTGACAAAATATCAACTATATTGTAGTGATAGAGGCAATTACTACGTACTCCATCCTAAAATATCAATTAAATATCAATGCATCACTTTAGAATACTAGCACAATAGTATTTGTTAATTTTCAACACCAATTAACATGGATGTATTTATTTCAACCAGAACTGGGAAAAACAATAACGCAGTTAAAAAAAACTGGAATGCTGCGATATCTCAAACTGGAATGTGCGATATCTCAAACATGCTGGGAAAAACAATAACGCAGTTAAAAAAGAACATGTTTTTGGCATGAATAGCGAATAATTTTTTTAAAAACCGTTAAATTTAATGGTTCCTTTGACGGCTGGTGGTGAAAAACATTTTTTTGATTTTTAGTTGGTGGTAAAATAAAAATTTTAAAAATTTGATGGTTAAAACCAATTTCGTGTTTTTTTCTTGGTGGTAAAAGTCAAAAAAACTAAATTACTATCTCATATTAGAAGGCTAGCAATATATAGCATGGGTGAAGGCGTGAAGCAGCACCTTTCTACAATCCACCTGAGGAGTCAGCACATCTTCCTTACTCGGTAAAGAGGGAACACTCTGATCAGTCTCTTTAACAAGGATAGCACAGTCTGAGAGAGCAGCGCCTAGATTATGAAAATTCGACGGTTTCTGAGACATAAAATGTATGTTTTCTTTCTCGCTCCAAGAAGACATATTTGATTTGCTTTCACTGATAGCTTTGTAGGAATTCATCCTCAAAGCTGGGCTGGAAGATTTTGTTCCGGGTGAGCTCCGGTAAGTTGAGTCTTGGGATCCATAAAGGTTTATCGGCTAATTAAATACGTGCACAATCAAGGCAAATTAACTAACCCGGGCGATTATCCGAGGATAACCGCTCCGACGCTAAAGTCATCAAATTTGATGAGAAGAATAAGAGAAGAGATGAGAGAGTGTTAGAGAGAGAGAGAGAGTGTTTAGAGAGAGGGAGAGAGTTAGAGAGATAAAGATCGTACCTTAATAATGAATTACGCTTAGGTATTTATAGGAAAACAACCAAGCTGGTGCCACCTATCGATATAGGTGGCAAGTTGATTTTTTAGGCAACAGGTGCCTACGTGGTCGAAAGCAGCTCTCCACGTCGTCGTGATTAAGGTCGTTATGGAGAGTAAGCCGGTATGCGTAATAATGGATAACTAAAAGCGTAACGTATTTTAGTGGACAAACCCTAACGGTGTCGGCACTACCCTGTCCAACTAGCCCCCCAAGTGAAGACGTCTGTGTAAATGACGTTCTCGCTTGTCACATGTTTTAAAGCGGATAATGCCTACATTAAGCAGAGGAGATGAAAAACTCCGACTTGCCCCCAAAGTGAGCAAATTAAGAGTATCGATTTGCTCAATTATATTAAACAATAGGCCAAGATTTGAAAAATCTCCGAGTTGCCCCCAAAGTGAGCGAATTAAGAGAGTTGATTTGCTCAATTAATCATTAGGCCGAGATTTGAACAATCTCCGATTTGCCCCCAAAGTGAGCAAATTAAGAGAGTTGATTTGAATTGCTCAATTAAACATTAGGCCATGATTGAAAAATCTCCAATTTGCCCCCAAAGTGAGCAAATTAAGAGAGTTGATTTGCTCAATTAAACATTAGGCCAAGATTGAAAAATCTCCGATTTGCCCCCAAAGTGAGCAAATTTAGAGAGTTGATTTGCTCAATTAAACATTAGGCCGAGATTTGAAAAATCTCCTATTTTCCCCCGAAGTGAGTAAATTAAGAGAACTGATTTTCTCAATTAATCATTGGGCCGAGATTTGAAAAATCTCCAATTTGCCCCCAAAGTGAGCAAATTAAAAGAGTTGATTTGCTCATTTAAACATTAGGCCGAGATTGAAAAATCTCCGATTTGCCCCCAAAGAGAGCGAATTAAGAGAGTTGATTTGCTCATTAATCATTAGGCCGAGATTTGAAAATTTTCCAATTTGCCCCCGAAGGTGAGCAAAGCCGAAATGGGGTACGCCCAGGTGGATTTAATATTATTAAAAGTAAAATGAGGTTTAGGGAGGCCGATAAAAAAACTCGGCAGGAAATTGTTTGAAGTAGTGGGACACGTGTCAAACATCTAAAGTTGGTTGTTGAAAAGGCGCCTTTTCCCAGCCGTAGGATTGCATGCAACTAATGTCACATCAACCGCCACTGTTTCGGGGGTTTTTGGAGTCCCTCGGGAGAGTTACAATTTTGGGAATGCGCGTCTGACGTCCGTACCTGCAGAACCACGAAACTCCGGTTGGGTGGAGTTCCGCCTCCGACGATCAAGTTAGTATGATTCCAAATGGGTAAAAGTGCGGAAAGTAAATGGGTTTTTCTCCTTGATTCAGAGAGATTTCGCAATTAATATTGCTCGGTTTTTGTGTATGTATTTATGAATGTGTAATAAATGAGGAAATTCCTCTATTTATAGCAGATGAAGATCTGCTCCCCCATTAGGGGTACAATGGCACGTGTCAGCATCCGATTGGATCTCAATGGGCCTTAGAAGGGCTGCCACGTGTCAGCACGGTATTGGGCCACGTGGCATAGGGGGGTATTTTTACCCCAAAAATTTGCCCCTCACAGGTGTAACGTAGCTTGCCACGTGGCACATGTGACATGTGCCACATTCCGGGAAAGTGACGGTTCATCTCCTTACCTCCATTTTTTTTTAATTCGAATTTGGATTCGAATTTGAATTGGAGGGGGAAGGTGACGGTTCGCCTTCTGCCCCCCTCCTATAAATTGGAGGCCTCCTCCTCTCGTTTGCTACTTTGCAAATTTTCACAAAAATCACTTGAGAGAAAAAAGCTCTAACACCGGCTGCTCATTCGTGCAACTAGGTTCTTCTTTCAGACGCATCTGGTTACCGGCTGGGTACTTTGACCCTTTCTAAGGTACCGTCTGACTTAATTAATTTCTTCTTGACTTTAGTAGAGCCACAGCCGGTCTTACATCGTCTGGGGCACTTCAAAGCAATTTATTTCACAAATTGCATTCCATAGACCCACAGCCGGAAATATTTCATCTGAGGGGTCTTCAAACAATTGTCTCTCAAACTTGCATTTCATAGACCCTCAGCCGGAGATATTTCGTCTGGGGTATTCTTCAAACAATTGTCTTCGAAAACTTGCATTCAACAGACCCACAGCCGAAAATATTCCGTCTGGGGTACCTTCAAACAACTGTCTTCAAAACTTGCATTTAACAGACCCACAGCCGGACATATTCTGTCTGGGGTACCTTCAAAAAATTGTTCTTCAAAACTTGCATTTCATAGACCATCAGCCGGAACTATTCCGCCTTAGGGATATTCAAACAATTGCCTTCAAAGATTGCATACTAATGGACCCACAGCCGGAAATATTCCGCCTGGGGCATTTCTGAGCAATCTTCATAATTTGCTTTCTATAGACCCACAGCCGTCCTTGTGCCGTATGGGGCATCTTCAAGCAATTCATTCTTTTTTGATTTGCAGTCATAAGACCCTCAGTCGGCCTTCTGCCGTCTGGGGTGTTTTTGTGCAATTTTCTTCAAATACTGCATCTTATGGATCCTCGTATGGGGTATCTTGGAGCAATTTTTCAAAAAGCCACTCTACAAATACCGTCTGGGGTATCTCTGAGTCATCTTCATAAACTGCTTTCTATAGATACCGCCTGGGGTATCTTTGAGCAATCTTCAAAAATTGCATTCTATTTGATACCGTCTGGGGTATCTTTGAGTGATTTTCTACGCAAACGCCTGACTGTTTGCTTTGTATTTCAGCTTTCAAAACACAAGCAACCGAAATCTTCCGCCTGTGGCATCTGCAAGCCACATTTTAAGATAACGATCTTCTACAAACTTCTTCAACACTTCAAGGTACCGTCTTTGCCCTTCGTAACTTTGAGTTTTTCCTGGTTGCATAGGTTAGAGAATAATGGAGTCTCCCACCACACACACGGCACGACCTTAGGCATATGTCAACCATTCACCGGATACGGCTGAGTCTAGGAGTGGGGATAAAGTATGGGGGTGTTTGGACCACCCTAATTCTGCTAGGAATCTGATCATCTTTGTTCATGTACAGGACAGAATGGCTCGGACAAGGAAAACGGCGGTTGACCTCGAGTACCAATCAAATGATTCAGCCGAAACTCCGGTTGAGGATGTACCTTTTGACCAACCAGGCGTACCTAGCACGCCCGGAGATGAGATATTAGAAGTGTCCGGGAGCCCAGGCGGTGAGGAAATTGTCCAACAATCCGACTCAAGTGAGATTACAATGACGCCAGATGCCCCTCAAGAGGATGAGGAAGCATATAACTGGCTATTAGCAAATAATCCAACAGAGGCGCACATGAGCGCCCGGGATGTTGTCACTTTAAATGCAACCCTCCCGGCATTCTTGGAGAAGCGCCTTGTAGGGGTCGGATGGGAGGTCGGCGTCCCGCCTGCTGATGCAACCGTCGTCTGGGATGACGACTTAGAACATGCTGATAATTACTTCGGCTGCTACGAGGGGGCATTCAAAGCCGGCCTCTGGTTCCCCCTCCACAAAACAATCAAAGCCATTCTAAGGGGTTATGTCCTTGTCGTCTGGCAGCTCACACCCAACTCTTGGGTGACTATTTTGGGTTATATTGCCGCCTGAGAGATGTAGGACGTGACGCCTAGCTGGGAGGCGTTCGCGCACATGCACTACCTGAGCCGTGCCCCAGGCGGCTGGAATGCGTGGTACACAATGACCACGCATCCGAAATATATGATGACATTGGAGAAGCCCTCCAAATGGACAAGCTGGAAGAGCAAATTTTATTTCGTCTCATCCCCATCTACGGCTGCAAATCACTGGCTACGCCGTTACAACAAGAACCCGGCTCTATTGGGAAAGAAATGTGCCCTCCCCAAGATATCGGCTGAATCTTGGGATGCCATAATGGAGCCGGGGTTGTTCAAGAAGACTACAATGCAACTGGATGATGGGACACAAATCACTATCCCCAAATTCTGGGTCCCTCATCCGGACTGGTTCAGAGACGAGGTGTTCCTTTCCACCTTCGGTCTTAGCACCTTTTAGGACAAATGTAGGTTTACTGCTTAACCGGCATATTATGCCGCCTATATGGTGTTTGACTGCTCTAACATTTTTCTTTCTTTACTATTTTGCAAAGAAAGGACTTGAGATGACTCCACCAGAGAAAACGCCGGCTAAGTCAGAAATAAGGAAGGAGCAACTCGAGCAGAAACGGGCCCAACTTGCGGCCAGAGGCGGTGGGGTGAGCACCGACTGATTTTATGCGGCCTGTATGTCTTGCAAACAATCTTGATTCTAACTTGTTGCTTTGTTATCTTTTGCAGACGAGGAGCCAGAACGTTCTTCGTTCTTTGAGGCAGATGGTGAAGAGGCCGGGGGAGGAACTCCCCCAGCCTGCTTCACAGAGGCGGAGAGTCTCAAGCGGCCCCACCCCAACCTCAGCCGGTAGAACACCGACTCCTGATAGACCCACAACCGCAGGCAAAAGTCTGCAAAGCTTGGGTTTAAGCTCAGGGCCGGCTGCGGCCGGATCTAAGGAGCCTGAGGTTCCTTCTGGCCGGGTGCTTGCTGTTGCATCCGGCTCAAATGCGGCTAGGGGTGGTCTCCCCCCTCAGCCTGAAAACGAAGGTAAGGATTTCCCTTTTGACCCCCCGGTCGCTTGGGCCTG